GTCTTGACTGCAAAATATGAACAAATTCTTACTTATTTCATAAACAAAACAATCTTTTCATGCTGATTTTGGGCAAATCAGGTCCATTTTCTCAATCGATAATTTGAAAAATTGCGCATTTCCTCAGTGGGGTCGATCTACTAAAGGTTTCTGAGATAATTTGCTAATTGAACCGATTTTTTTCCAATTCAGGACATTTTCGGTCTATCGATACTCCGAGAAATCGATCAGTTTCTCAGTGCTGACGGCTTGGAAAGCGTTCTAATTGCAAAATCAAGACAACCTGATCCTGATCTATTGCAAACAAGAACATTTCTCAATCGACACTCCGAGAAATCGATAAGTTTCTCAGGGTAACTGTTTTGAATACCAACTACACATCGTTCGGGACATTCGACTTTCTGTTTCGTACAGTTTTTCTCCACAAAATCTTTCTCAGTCAACATTTTGAGCAATTTTGCTCCAATTTCTCAGAAGACAAAACACAATCGCCTTTTCTCCTTTCGCTGGCGCAAAATTTCTCAATCGACGCCTCGAGAAATCCTCCTCGATTCCGCGGCGGACGAAACACGCCAGAAACGCACCATCACTAATCAAATATTGGCGGAACGAATTAGCGTGGATCCGCATTGTTCTTCCACATAAAAATAAACGATTACTCGCAGCTTCGCACTTTTCGAAGCCAACAGTCTTCGGTCGCGTCTAATAATATTCTCCAGTGGTTGATCGATGTTTCTCAACACGATCCGAAGCTAATTTTCGAGCGAAAATCATGTGCATTGCGCTGTTCTGCATGAGGGGAACGAACACCATCACAGTCTACAAGCCATGCCCTTGTCCGAATCACATCAAAAGGTATTCAGCTTCAGCAACAGCTTCAGCTTCTGCTTCAGCTTCGGCTTCAGCTTCATCTTCATTTGCTTCAGTCTGTGGCTGCTGCTGCCTCTTCACTGATCGTCTGTTTTTCATTTTATGTAAGAGTTCCAAGATAACGAACGGCAGATTTTCGGTGATTGTTTGCCCGCATTGAAATGCACGTGAATGCGGCATTCGGTTGTTTTTCCGACCGAAAATTGTGCCGTCAGAGATAAGAATCGCGTGAGAAACTGGGCGAAAATCACGCGTCCGTTTCAGAGTGTTTGATTGGGAGCATCAGCCCATTTGGGCTGATTGATTGGATTTGAACGCGCACAACTTCCAAATTGGTGGGGGTTTTTTTCGGAAACTTTTTTCGGCCCAAAAACGGCAGTTGAAAGTTCCGGCAGCGGCGGAAACTCGCTTTGGATCCCGCGGAAAGTTTTACTCGAATCCAACGAGAGCAAGTTGGGCAAAAAAAATCCCAAACTGACACTAAACAAATGAATAGTTTCATCGCCTTTGCCTTAGAAATCGATAACTCCAACAAAACTGCCAATAACTTCCAAACGAATGAAGCTAGCAACTGGAAACTTTTCGAGCCAGCGCCAGAAACTCGCTTTGGATCTCGTGGAAAGTTTCACTTGAATCCAACAAGAGGAAGTCGTGCAAAAAAATTCACAAACTGACACAAAGCAAATGAACAGTTTCATCGCCTTTGCCTTAAAAATCGATAAGTCCAACAAAACTGCCAACAACTTCCAAATGAATAAAGCTAGCAACTGGGAACTTTTCGAGCCAGCGCCAGAAACTCGCTTTGGATCTCGCAGAAAGTTTCACTCGAATCCAAAAGAGCAAGTTGGGCAAAAAAATTCCCAAACTGACACAAAGCAAATGAACAGTTTGAACGCTTTTGTCTTAAAAATCGATAACTCCAACAAAACTGCAAACAACTTCCAAATGAATAAAGCTAGCAACTGGAAACTTTTCGAGCCAGCGCCAGAAACTCGCTTTGGATCTCGCGGAAAGTTTCACTCGAATCCAAAAGAGCAAGTTGGGCAAAAAATTCCCAAACTGACACAAAGCAAATGAACAGTTTGAACGCTTTTGTCTTAAAAATCGATAACTCCAACAAAACTGCAAACAACTTCCAAATGAATAAAGCTAGCAACTGGAAACTTTTCGAGCCAGCGCCAGAAACTCGCTTTGAATCTCGCGGAAAGTTTCACTCGAATCCAACAAGATCAAGTAGGGCAAAAAAATTCCCAAACTGACACAAAGCAAATTAACAGTTTCATCGCCTTTGCCTTAAAAATCGATAACTCCAACAAAACTGCCAACAACTTCCAAATGAATAAAGCGAGCAACTGGAAACTTTTCGAGCCAGCGCCGGAAGCTCGCTTTGAATCTCGCGGAAAGTTTCACTCGAATCCAACAAGATCAAGTTGGGCAAAAAAATTCCCAAACTGACACTAAACAAAAGAACAGTTTGAACGCCTTTGCCTTAAAAATCGATAACTCCAACAAAACTGCCAACAACTTCCAACTAAATAAAGCTAGCAACTTGAAACTTTTCGGGCGAGCGCCGGAAACTCGCTTTGGATCTTGCGGAAAGTTTCACTCGAATCCAAAAGAGCAAGTTGGGCAAAAAATTCCCAAACTGACACAAAGCAAATGAACAGTTTGAACGCCTTTGCCTTAAAAATCGATAACTCCAACAAAACTGCCAACAACTTCCAAATGAATAAAGCTAGCAACTGGAAGTTTTTCGAGCCAGCGCCAGAAACTCGCTTTGGATCTCGCAGAAAGTTTCACTCGAATCCAACATGAGAAAATTGGGCAAAAAAATTCCCAAACTGATACTAAACAAATGAACAGTTTGAACGCCTTTGCCGTAAAAATCGATAACTCCAACAAAACTGCCAACAACTTCCAAACGAATAAAGCTAGCAACTGGAAACTTCAAGCAAGCGGCAGAAACTCGCTTTGGATCTCGCAGAAAGTTTCACTCGAATCCAATAAGAGGAACTCGGGCAAAAAAATTCACAAACTTACACTAAGCAAATGAACAGTTTCATCGCCTTTGCCTTAAAAATCGATAACTCCAACAAAACTGCCAACAACTTCCAAATAAATAAAGCTAGCAACTGAAAGCTTTTTCAGCTTTCTCCTGAAACTCCGTTTTAAACCCAACGAGCCGCAGGCTAAGAAAAAAATTCCCAAACTCACACAAAGCAAATGAACAGTTCGAACTTCATTGCCTTCAACATCGACAACACCAGCAAAACTGCCCAGAACTTCCCAAACAATGAAGTTCACAACTCACAACTTTCTCTGCGGGCACGGTAGGCGCCAGTGTAGACTCGCAGAAAGTCTCACTCAAATCCAACAGGGAGAAGTTGGGGGAAAAAATTTGAGCAGTTTGAGCCACAACTCCAACAAACCTGCCAATAAGTTCCAACCAAATGCAGTTATCTCCCGGAAACTTTTCCTGCGGCCCGCAGAACCTCCACTGCAAACTCCCAGAAAGTTTCAGCCGAATCCAACTGGAGGAAGTTGGATTAAAAAATTCCCCAACCGCACACTAGGGAAACGAGTAGTTTGCGCCTCCCCGGCGAAACTTCATGGTCCCTCCATCATCCCTTCATCCTCCCATAACTCGAGCAAGAAGCTTAATTGAACCTCACTAGTTAAAGATGCGCAAAAAATTGAATCCCTTTGCCAGATCAAAGCCTCAGCTCCCCAGAAAGGCGGGTGAAGTGAAGTTTCTTCACTGATCCCCCGAGGGAACTTCCTGTTGAACCCCCACAGCTCCTCCCTGCCCACTTTGGCCCCACAGCTCCTTCCCTCGCTGGGCAATGATTGGCAACAGCGCCTCTCGCTCCCTACTAGGGGACTGCTGGGGAACTTTCCCGGTTTTCCTCCTCCTGGGGAGTGGGGCACAGCCCCTACTCCCACCAGGGACCCTCCACGCTTATCTAACTTCAGTTTCTCTGGTTTTCAGCCATCGGCACTACGAGGACGACAACGAATGGGGCTGCGGCAGCTGGCTGGAGTACACCTTAGTGGTGGTGCTGTCCAGCGTTCTCCTACTGGGCTCCCTAGGGCTGACCCTCTTCTGGGTCATTCAATATAGGGGCGGGTTCGCGTGGCGCGAGGACCCCAAACGCCAGTTCAACCTGCACCCTGTTCTGATGGTGGCCGGCTTCATCACGTTCAGCGGCTTCTGTAAGTGCCGCAGCGCCGCCCCATCGGGGGCCTACCGCATTAAAACGCCGCCCATTTGATCGCTCTTTGCAGCGGTGCTCCTCTACAGGATCTGCCGATGCTGTAGGCGCATCTACGTCAAGTTGCTGCACACCGTGTTCCACGCTTTGGCCATTCCGTGCGTCGCCCTCGGGTTCTTGTCCGTGCTGGACTCGCACAATTTGGCCCAGCCGCCCATTCCGAACTTCTACTCGCTGCACAGCTGGATCGGATTGGTCACGATGGGCCTGTTCGCCATCCAGGTAGCCAATCAGCGCGCTCCATGCGCAGGCGGCGGTTGCTGACCGAACCGGTTCTTCTGTCGGTTTCAGTTTGTCGTCGGCTTCTTCAGCTTCCTGATTCTGCTGTGCTGCGAAGGGGCGACCGCAGGGTTCAGGGCGGCGCTGGTGCCGATTCATGCGTCCTTCGGACTGACCACCTTCGTGTTGGCCATTGCCGCCTCGGTCACGGGGTTGACCGAAAAGGCCCTGTTCACACTGGGGTAAGTACTGATTGAACCGCCCCCGTACGTGAATGTCCTTGGGACCTTGGCATGCGGTTGGAAGGTTTGAGGAGGAAACTCGTGCTCCTCGCAGCTCAGTTTTTGGGTTTGGTATGAGGTTTTGACGAGAATTTTGGGTTGCGTTGTGAAAAACCGCACGATTTTGCAACTTTTTCGTCCCTTTGGGACCAGTTTCGCAGAAAGTTTGCGTAATAATACGAAGTTGCATGCGTTGGCCGTGCGGTAAGCAATGCGGTAAGCGGTGCGGTAAGCGGTGCGGTAAGCGGTGCGGCTTTTTTTTAAGGAAAGTTGAGTGTAGTTTGTTTCAAACCCCCGGAAAACATGTCATTTGGGCAGTTTTTAAGGTGATTTCTGG